GGGGGGGGTTGTTGTGAGATTCTCGTAATATGACAAATGAATGAATGTGGAATGAAAACTCACCTATCTTTGTTTTCTTGTTATCATTCTTCATTCTTTCGTCTTTCATCCGGAGCTCATTTCCAGGAACCTCGTTGGTATGTTCCATTTTGTCGTCGGTTATTTTTGTTCCGTCGTCACTTGTGGGCGAAAGTATGAGTCCAAGACGATCAACTTCCTTCTTAAGTGCCTGGTTCTCAATGTCTACCCGATCGACATGTTTCCGAAGGGAACGAGTCTCTATTTTCAGTGACTGTTTTTCCGTTTCTAGTCGACTAACATCTTTCCGAATAGCCTGGTTTTCATCACGGAGACTTGTTATTTGAGATTCCTGTTGTTGAAGTATGTTACGTATTTCTAAGATTTCTTTTTGCATATCAAATGCTGCCATAAGGCCAGGCAGTAAAAGCATTGCATAGCAGAAAGTCTCCATTTTGTCGATAGAATTAAGAGATAACAAACTGCACTACTTTCGTGAACATTAAAGATAAGAGCCAAAATGAACATGTGTTAAAACTTTATAAGACGACTAAACTTAGATACTATTATTCAATTTGCGCAACTATTTGTCATGTTTAAAGTATCATATTTCAAACTAACATTTTTGGCGATACGTGATACAAGGAAACGTTTTTCAATATACAGAATTAAAGAGAAATAATGGTTCATTGTCTCTGATATGGGGTATTATAGCTGAATTTTCTAATAAAACTCCACCATTTCCGTTAAAATGGTTAATCTATTACTTTTTTTAAAAACATATCAGTTTGTAACATTTAATTCTTGTCTTTAACTTTTACTTCGCCATCTGCTAAGTAATGAAATCAAAAGAAGTGAGTAACCACCAATCGATTGTATGAACTAATCATATTTCTGTAAAATTTTCATGAAAATTGTGATTTCCATCGTCACTGTAAAAATTTGAAAGTCAGAAATTTAAAGTCAAATGCGTATGTAAAATTATATAGTTATGTACGTAAAGTTATATAGTTATGTACGTAAAGTTATGTAGTTATGTACGTAAGATTATATAGTTATGTACGAAAAGCCGGAGATTCCTTTCCATTTTGAAACTCGGGCCTCAAATGTCAAACTGAAGTCAACTAATTGGGTAAATACATTTTCCCCTTAACGATTACACTGTTGCTCTGATTTATTCACTTCAAAGTCGCAATTCAACATGTTCAAACAGTTAAACTAGTTTAAAATAACATTAAACAAAATCATGTCAACCAACTGCTTTTAAAAATTGGGAAAATGAATATGCTAGCCCGGTAAAAACTAAAAATGAATAATCTAACCGAATACAGGATAAATTGAGTATTCTACCACATCGATATGCAGCATGAAATTGTGTACAAAAACAAAACTAAATGCCTAGCAACATGTTAACATGAATACTAGTACTACGTCCGCAAAACATCCTTTTGCACAAGTCAGGAATATGACAGTTGTTTTCCATTCGTTTGATCTGTTTGAGCTTTTGATTTTGCCATTTCATACGGGACTTTCCGTTTTGAATTTTCCTTGAAGTGCGGTATTTATGTTATTTTACCTTTTACAATGGCAAATATTCCATTCCTTCTGAAGAGATTCAGAACAAGAGCACACTCATAATCAGGGTAGGCCGGGTTCAAAGATGGATATACCGGATGAAGGACAGGAATTCATTTGAACTCTGTTACAAATTATGAAAAGACAAAGTTTCGCTTTGAAACAGATCAAATGCAAAACCAAAAGAAGCCTGTTGCAAAGCATCCTGTTCTTTTCATCGCAACACCTCTGAAACCACACAACAGAATATGATGATTTGTTGATATTTGGGACATACTATAAAGCATCTTTCGCGGCGATGCATAGGATTTAACATGTCCATTCTTAGCGAACAGGACTTCGTATTCATACATCCTTTAAATCCTGCTCACCCTCAAACTGATAAACGAAAAAGATGGAACGTTTTTTATCCTGTGGTTTCCCCGCAAGGTTTTCTTACATCCGAAGAATACCAAAAAATAAGAAGATATATTGCTATATAGACAAGGCAACACTTTATTCAAGTCTCACTTCTGTGTTTATAAAACATACAAATAGTGGTATAACATAGACATAAAGCATAGAAGAGCCATTATAAAATTGGTAAAATGTGTATACCGTATCTACAATATCCAATTGATTAAATAAAATACATCAGCGTTTGCAAATTTTGCCTGCATAAAAATTTAAAAGTACATAGTTTTCCTATCGTTCGTGGGAAAGCATTTAGCATAAAGGGCCAACCCGTTATAAAATCAATATAAATTCAAGCCCCACTGGATTTTTTTCTTAAATATATATCTTCCTGTGGAAATAATATTATAGAACATTTCTTCCATTTGGAACTGATTTTATAAAAAAAATTCTATTGTATGACAATTCAACTTAAAAATTCATTTGTAAGTTTCTGGAATCAACAAATTACGTGTCACTGACATTATACAAAGATTTTTGTTTAATTTAATTATTGCTAGCATATTTGAGTACTGACTCTCCTCTTTACAAAAATAAGGTGATGTGGTATGATTGCCAATGAGACAACTATCCACCAAAGTTCAAATGGAGTGGCTGTACGCAATTATAGCAACCGTACCGGCTTCAACAATGAGGAAAAACCCATACCGTATAGTCGTTATTAAAGGCCCCGACATGACAAATATGAAACAATTCAAATTAGAAAACAAACAGCCTAATTTATAATAAAACAATTGACGAAAAAAAAAACAAATATGAGATACATGAACTAACAGCAACCACTGAACTACAGGTTCCTGACTTGGGACAGGCACATAAAGAATGTGGCGGGGTTAAACATGTTTGTGAGCGCTCAACCCTCCCCTAACATGGGACAGCACTAAAAAAGAACAAACTATAAAAATCAGTTGAAAAAGGCTTAACTCATCAGATCGATACAAAGAAAAACACCAAACAAACACACAGACAGGTCGTGGAAGGTATATATTTATCCCTCATCCCTAACAACAACAACAAACACACTAAGTACAGATATGAGAGCACTCGTAGTTACTGACAGCTAGTTCAAAGCCAATAGTAACTAATAAAACAAATCATGTATCTAAGATTAAAATAGCAATCAGTACACATCCAACATCCAATATATTTAATGTAAAGACGTTATTGATAGTCAGAGAAAAACATGACCTTGTATGTTAAAAAAAACCTTCATTTTGTTAATTTGTTGGTTTTGTCGCCTATGGACCTCTATTCTGTTACCTTTATTTATTGGGTCATAAAAATAATTTTGTCCAATCCAAGGAATATAATAGAAGCCCTACTATAAGTATCCTTGTCCAACTAAATTGAATCTAAAATTAAGTCATTAATATTGTCTCCTGAAACAAAAGATAATAAATTGACAACTTGAAAGTAAAACATCTATAACATATATAAGTTCCAGTAGTAAAACTTAAATATTGTGTACTCCGATGCAGACCTATGAGACATGTTCGATCGGAAGGCAACCATTTTGATTGGATGAAGCCAAAACGTCAAAGAAACTGTCTATAACCGTTTCACCATTACACAAGAGACTTTAAGGAACATGTGTCGCTCATCTTGGTATATTTCCATTTTCAACAGTGGACACTACCTAACATTGTAGACTAGAATAGAATTCATGACAAAAATCTCTTTTTTGTTCATCTTGTATTTCTGGCAATTTTTTTCTGTTTACGATTTCTCTCTATCTTGTTTAGTTTTTGTCCAAAACACAAAAGAGGGTAAAACATCATCATTTAAGGGAAATCACTCATATAAAGTGTCTTCTAACTATTTCCCCAAATTTGACTTGGCTTGCTGATCATTTTGCTATAAAGGGTATATCTATCTATAATATTTTTCAGGATAAAAGGCAAAAACACTACAAATTTGTAAAAATCTTCATCAAAGAGCAACAACTCCAATAATGAGTCGACTGACGATTTCAGTACTGCTTGACTTATTTGTAGATCTTGTCTTGTTGACTATTTTTGCTTTTTAAGGTGTCTATTTATATTTACTATTATATTTTAAGATATATATTTCTGTAATAATTTTCAAGATAATAGGTAAAAATCGTCATTACAGAGCAAAAACTTCAATAAGTTGTCTGACGATTTCGGTCATATAGACTTATTTGTAGATCGTTCTTCTCTTGCTGATCACTTTTGCCATTTAATGTTTCTCTCTACATGTATCAAAATGTGCAAAGACCTTATAATCAGAATAAAATCAAGGTCTTTCCCTGGAAAGGAAGAAAAACTTACAAAACATTTTCAAAAAATATATTACAGATGATTATTACAAAATGCAACAGCAAACTACTCATGGTTTATTTCTCGAGTCCTATTGTAGGGCAGTAAAATATTACGTGGAAAAAATCAGTATTCCTTTCAATATGAACAGTTTTGTGTGTTTATCATTTTTATTAATTACACAAATAATCAAATCATTTCGTGTATATATGTTATATCATTGACCAGAATGGGTTTAATTTAACTTTAAATGGCTAATACTTCAAATACTATACACAAAACTTGGGAAAGAGCTCCCTCCTTTTTCATTTTATTTGTGTTTAATAAGATTTTTATTGAATTTTCTTTAATATTTTAACTTATTATTCCTTACTTTATGTATGTTTGCTTTTATCAATTTCAATAACTGTCGTTTACAAGTACTGTCCCTCTACTCCTATTGGAATTGACAGCACGTGTAAACGACATTTATTGTATAGGAAATAAGTCGAAATATAAACGAATTTGTAAGAACAAAATCTTTAACACAAAAAGGAAGATCTAAGTGCCTGTGATGCTATAGTACGCAAAACTCTCGAAACATGAAACCAATTTGAGAATTAATGTATAGAATTTATTTTAGAAAAAGAATAAAAAAAGTATAAAACTCTACAAATAAAAAAACATACTATAAAATGAAGAAAAACATGTTTTTATTACATAAAGATACATGGTAATAAGTAATCCAACCTGATTCATGTTAGAAGTGTAATCTAAAAACGCAGTAATGTGCAAAGCTCACTCAAGATGTTACTAATTTGTCTTGAATACGGATATTGTTGATCCGTTCTCATTTGCAATGTAACATTTAGACAAGTCCTTATTGAAACAAAATGTTAGAGGTCGGGTCAAACTATATTCAAATAAAATATCTACTAAAGTTCCAGCGGATGTAAGTTGGTGAATTTTTTGTGAACCGTAATCCAAGACGAACATATTTCCAGCATCATCTGTTATCGTATTTGTTGGAAAACGAAGATCGGATGAAGTATAGGAAAAAACAGGACACCCATCTGATGTGATGCAATGAACTGCATTCTTGTTCGAATAACAAATGTTCCCATTAGAGCAAACTAAAATGTACGAACACGTATTCTTTTCTTGTTTTAGATCTATTGTTCTTATAAAATTTCCATTTAAGTCTAGGACCTGTATATTTTCGATAATATCTACGAATATGTTATCTCTTGTTGCAAAAATACCACCATTTTTGCTCTGTTTCACTTCTACCTGCTTAAATATTTGACGCCTTCCAATGTCTAGGAACTGTATGTACGGTTTAGATTTACTTGACACAACAGCAGTAGCTGTTCCAGGTATTGCTGCTATAGCTAATGGTGCATATGGAAAGCTGATAGATGATTGGTAAGTATCGTTTTCATCGCAAAAATATACCTTGCTTGTATTCAAATCACAGAAAATCAATGTGTTATTGTCTGATATCGTCATGCCAGTTACTCCGTTTAACTTTTCTCCTTTCATGTCGATGTTGAAGAGATGGGTGAAAGAGGTGATCTGGCGCTTGAGAACAACTGGAACCTGTGACTGGCGCTGCTTGTATGGGACAAATGGAAAGGAACAAGGTGTTTCCATTAATTCTATTGACCCGAGATCTGTTATTTTGTCTTTTGAAACGTTTTCGACGAACGTTAGACTGGTGTCTACCACCGATTCGGTAAGCTGTTTAACTTTGTTTTCAATTTCATCTAAGATTGGTTTGGATGAATGAATAGAAACAAATGCCTGTTTATCAGAACCATGATCTTTAACAAATGCTAATGATTCCGTTTGAGCTGTTGTGGAGTTTACTAAGTCCATTATACATTTCTCTTGTCGTTTTAAACTGGATACATGTTTGTCTTTCTTTTCAGTTAGCTGTTTTAAAAGTGAATCTTCTAAGACTTCCAACTGTTTGATAATATTTTCTTTCATTGTTTTTATTTGTTTCAAAATTTGTGTTTCTTCTTTATTAATTCGACTTCCATTATCATTCCAATTCTTATTCAATTTTTCTAATGCCTCTAGAATAAAACGTAACTGTTCTTCAGAATCCATGAAAAACTGCGATTGTTTGGAATTCTTTGAAGCAATGTCAATGGATGTGACGTTTTTGCATGCTCGGTGATATTTTGGCCAACATTCCTTACAGCAAATAACATCATGATCAACACAAAAATAGTCAAAAGGTAAATGTTGATGCTTTGAACAATTATACGATAAATTAATTTTTTCTGGTATTTTACCTATCTCTACTAAATGGTGATTTTTTGACATTTTTTGAACTCTATGCGCCTCTGTACAATCGGAACATAGGGCTTCTTCACATTCGGTACACCATTGGGATGCTGTTGGAGTCATACCACGCGCAGTACACGGTTCACAGTATTTGGCTGCCATATTTCTACAATAACAATAATTCCAAACTAAAAACTAAAACCATCGTTTATACTACTTTCTAAAAGGGTTTATTATTAAGATTATATCATCCCTAGAGTAAGTGTCTTTCGTATCAGTGTGCAAATCACAAAAACACGTTAACTTTCCACAATTGTAAGAATAGTGGGTTGTATATGGTCTAATTTATATTAAAATGTTATGCATGTAGGATTGAGAACAGCATTTGGTAGACTAGGCGTCTCAGTTTTTCTTTGAGATTTGTCTATTTAAATCTTAAATCTGAATATAATGATTACAGTGTAATGTGTAATTTTTTTAACATTCGAAAAGAATGGTTCGTTATATGAATTTAGATTTAAACCAATGTAATTAAAATATAGACCTCTGATTTCGTTGTTCTCATGTATTCCCTATATATATATATATATACGAGCGCGCGATCAGAATTTTAATCAGATTGGATTTAAACGAAAATGTGTGCCGTTATTCCTTTTTTTCTCTATAATAGAATATGTAGGTCAATGACTAGTTAATCAAGTTTATTGAACATATGCAAAGACTATGAAAAGACGTAGAGGGAGATAGTTTTACATGTATTTAATTTTTTCTACATGGTAAAAGTGTCAATTATTAAATCAATATAGAGTTATTTCTCTATAAAGCAAGCTATACCTCTCTTCTACACCAATGAAGTCATGATAATTTTATTTATGAGTGTTTTATTGTGCTGTACCTAATTAACATAATCAGAGTGAGACGAGCCAAAGTGAAGTGTAAATGAGCGTTCCAAAATTTGTAAAACCCAAAAGGGCACTGTTATTAGTAAAATAAAGAATTTGAATGTGTGCCAGTTCGTCATGTCAATAACTCATATGTGTAATCAAACTGATGATTTCTTCCATGTTGACAGATTTGCAGATATCTAATTTTGCTATAAACAGTGGGTTTTTTTTTAATTATCTACTTTTAAATTTTCCGCATTAACAACAAAACAACAAAACAAAATCGTCTTTCAATCCAAATAATTTCGATAAGGAGTCGACTGACAATTTCGGTCATTTAACTTTATTTGTAGATCACGTCTTGTTTATCATTTTAGCTATTTACAGTTTCTCTCTATCTAGTTTCGAACAAAAAACACACAAAAATGGGTAAAAATCGTTATTCAAGGGCTATTACTCCAGACCTATAAGTAGTCAACTGACGATTTTAGTCATGTTCACTCATTTTTAGAAATGGTCCTGCTAATCATTGTGCATGTAACAGTTTGGCTCTATCTTCTATAGTTTCAGCAAAGATAACACAACTAGAGGCCATAAAGAGCCTGTGTCTCTCATCTAGGTCTATGTGCATCTTCAACAATGGACACTCTCCAACATTTTGAACTAGAATAGAATTCATGACAATCATCTCTTTTTTGTTGATCTTGTGCTATAAAAGTCAACAAAAAAGAGATTATTGTGATAATTTTTTGTTTACAGTTTCTCTCTAGTTTCTATTTTAACCCAAAACACAAAAATCGTCATTTAACAGCAATCATTCCTAAAATTCCGGCGAAATTTGAATTGTTTGAAACACTGTCTTGCTGATCATTTTTGTTTTTTTAAAGTGTCTATCTTTCAGAGTTTTTCAAGATAGTGGGCAAAAACGCAAACAATTGGTAAACACTTTTATTGAAGAGCAAGAACTCCAATAAGCAGTCAACTGACGATTTCAGCCATGTTGATCTATTTGTAGATCTTTATTTGCTGATCATCTTTTGCTATCAATGGTGTCTTTCTATCTATTATAGTTTTCAAGATAATATGCAAAAAAATTAAGAATTGGTAAAAATCGTCATTCAAGATCTATAACTAATAATAAGGAGCCGATTGACGATTTCGGTCATGCTACCTTATTTGTAGATTTTGTTTTGCTAATCATTTTTGCTTATTTAAGATTATATCTATCTATCATAGTTTTAAAGATATCAGGCAAAAAAAATTGGTAAAATGTGTCATTAAAGGACAAAACAATTTGTAAAACTCGACTCCAGTAGTCGTCAAATAGTTCCGACAATTTGACTTCTTTGTGGATCTTTTCTTGCTCATCATTTTTGCCATTTAAAGTTTATCTCTATCTTTTATAGTTTTTAAGATAAAAGGCAACAACAAAAAAACAACTAGTAAAATTCGTTATTAAAGGACAAAAACTGCAACAAGGAGTCGTCAGATAGTTTCGACAACCAGGCTTATTTGTAGGTCTTGGCTTGCTGATCAGTGTTGTAAATAAAGTTTCTCTCTATCTACAATAAATTTGAAGACAATAGGCAAAAATGAAAAAAGAACAAAATTCGTCAAATTCGTCACTGAAGTGCAATAACTCCTATAAGAAGTCGTCTGACAGTTATGATGTAAATAGACAATAGGTAAATCTCAACATTTTGAACATGTTAGCTCCTGTCAGATTTTCTATATTGATAGAGGTTTTCGAGATTATAGACAAAACTTGCATATAACCCCTTTGTTCTATATTAAGCCATGTCGGCCATGTTGGTTGGCCGGCAGGGTCATCGGACATATTTTTTGATAACGATATCCTAATGGTGATTGTGGCGAAGTTTGGTAAAATTTGGAGAAGTGGTTTCAAAGGAGAAATTTTTTGTAAAAGTTAACGGACGACGAAGATGTCGAAGATGACAACGACGGACGACGGACGGTAAGTGATAAGACAATCTCACTTAGGACCTGGGTCTTTGGGACATGTGAGCTAAAATTGGGTAAATATTGTCATTCAAGGGCAATAGTTTCTAAAATGAGTCATCGGTCTACTCATGCTGTTTACTTATTTGTTGATCCTGTTGATTAGTGTTTATTTTTTTTGTTCTCTTTATTATACTTTTTTATATAATACAGTAGCCAATATCGCAAGATATGGTAAAATTCTACTCTAAAGAATCGACGATTTCGCCCACGCTGACTTAATTGTAGATCTTGTCCTGGCGGCTGCTATTCAATATTGCTTAAGACAGTTTCATGTTATTTATTATATATTTCTCAAAATTATAGCTATAAAAGTACAAAAATGGTCAAAATCTTCATTAAATGAAATTTACTCTTAAAAACATTTTTTAGATTTTCCTAATCTATAATGGTTTTCTAGATATTATACAATACTTGCATTTTACCCCTATGTTCTATTTTTAGCCTTGGTGGCTATGTTGGTTAGCAGGTATGGTTACAAAGTTTTGTTCCAAGTCGCTTTGTCATTTAAAGGGAAAGGTATTTTTCTTTATACATGTTATACAAATCACTTTGATTGATGAAATGAAGAGATGTATCAAAGTGATATCCCCACGGCACGAGTGGTTCAGTTGAGCCAAAATGAGCTGTCAGAGTGCGTAAACTTTGAATTTGTGTAATAGTTGATGGCACCACAATACCCATACAATGTTTGCAAAATAAACTAAATTAAACATAAAATTACAGTAAATTTGTGAAATATAATATAAATGAGGATAATGAAAACATTTGGAAAACAATAATCGACACTGACTGCTATAACAAAAATGTCGATATTGAGTGAAAACAGGACAGAGGGGTAGAGAGACACCCGTATTGGAGAATAGAAGAATAGAAGCGGAACGAAACAGTAAGAAAAGAAAACGATAGAGATTTGATTGAATAATACATTGAAGGATCATTAGCTGTCAAAACAATTCATGGACTCGGTACAATGTATCAGCATTTTGTGCGTATTTTAGACTAGACCCTATCTAATTTACCACCGAGATTACCTCCTTCGATCCCATGCAGTAACACACAGCAATGGATAAGCAATGCAACTCATGTCGACATAAGCGGGTCTTTTCGAAATTACAGTGAAGTAGGAGTGCCCAAATTATTGTTTTAAGACTTTAAATAACGTTCAATTTGAAAAAGTGTAAATTACCTAGAAGAAATTATACCTTTAACAAAATGGCGACCAGGATGTTTATCTCCTTTTGTGAACTCTAAGTGTTAATCAGGTAGGTGTTTAAATATAAACATTACATAAACAAGTATAAGCTTTTAAAAAACCTCTCCCACCCATATTTCAGAATCTGATCAAGTACAAAGTATCGTCATAACTAGAACCGTATTTGTCCTTTATCTTTCCTTTGAAACATAGAAAAAGTCTCCTAATTGATGTTTACTGTTTGCCGATTCAAATGAATGTGTGTGGTCTCATTCTGTTAAAATTACTTAGTACTCCAGTTTGCTTTACAACTTTCAGTTAGCGTGTTTATTGCATTATGTTGTATGAATAGCATTCGATAGAAATTTTAATTATCATCTTGTTGTTTTGCATTGATTCTAAAAGAGCTAACAGCAACCTCAAATAACCACGGGAGATATGATTTTTTTCTTATATTGTTCATTAGAAATCCATCCTTGCTAATCATCATCATTATTATTATCACCGATTTATAACTTAGTTTTGATTATTGTATCAAAATTAGGTATGTTCCTTAATCATTTAAGATGCTTTTTGATGTAACCCTGGCTTTCCTAAACCGTTAATTGGAAATAATGTATTTTTTTTTATCTAACATGAGGACATGCGATAGGCAATTATTGTCTGCAACAAATACTGTAACTGCTCCCACAGAAGAAGCGCATCACTAGCATGTCAACATTTTCCCCATCATTACAACTCGGCCATTCCCTCTATCATTGCAATGGATGATATATAGAATTTATAGGGAGGCTTAACGAAATGCGACTTGGCTAACGGGAAGGACATTCAAAAATAAATGTCTTTACAGAATTTTAATCATGTGAAATAACGAAGACAGAATAAACCCCACTAAGCACGATATTTCTAAAAAGGACATATAGTTCATTATGAGTTGATAATTTACAATCTGGAGAACCAACACACAAACTTAGTTGCATCATTTTGTTTTATTATATATATATATCCCTTTCAACGCATTGAGATAGAAAACGTTTTATGATTTATTGAATAAACTAAGGCTTAGTTCAATTTCCATCCTGCAAATGTGGATTTTGCCTCTCTATGACCCAGTACAGTCGTAGAACAGTCTCTGTACGATCGTAGATATACATTGTCACCTTGATTCAACGCATACACGATAGTTCAGGAATCACCATTTAAATCGTCTGTTTCACCATATGTGCTATCGTATATAGCATAATTAACGAGTATGTCAAATAGATAGCACCATGATTACCAGTGTACAACTTGTAAAGACATACACCCCTGCAGTCGGTACGGTAAAGGTTCTGGTGTATTTGCTATAACCGTTACCAAGGTTCGTTTTTACTTCATCGAATATTAGTTGATGATGGTCGATTGGGTGTGGTTCTTCCTTACTCATGTAAGCATAGAATGCAACGGTCTGTGTGTTGACCTTGCCTGTGCCAATCAAACGTTTTGCTTTCAATTGCTCTAAAAGTAAATATAATTTTTTTTACTAAATATACGTCTAAATAGAGGTTAAATTTGGGATCATTTGTAACGTAATTTGATTTTTGTGTGAATCGTTCTGCTGAAGTGAATTGAGGAAAACACAATACTCACCGCAGTTTCTTGTTTTTGATATATACAAATGAGAGTCTTGTCGATTTAACAATATTTAGACATTTTTTTTTATTTTAAATTTTGAAAAGAAGGTACCAAATTATAAATGTTGATCTCTTGTTTAAGTGCGATTTGTGTTGATAAATGAAAGTTTGAGTTGCTGTGGTCATCGAGTAAAAGTTCGAGATAAAGTTCAAGTTTTTTTTTATTTTGAGTTGAAGTTCGAGTTATGCTTCGAGTTCGAGTTACATTTTGAGTAAGGGTTCAAGTTAAAGTTCGAGTTAGAATTCGAGTTTTTTAATTTGAGTTCGTAAAAAGTAAAATAACAAAAATACCGAACTCCGAGGAAAATTCAAAACGGAAAGTCCGTAATCAAATGGCAAAATCAAAAGCTCAAACACATCAAACGAATGGATGTATTTTAATAAAATTCAATAGCGGATCCAAAAATACTATCAATAATACTAATTCCTTTTATGAGCAATGCTCAATAACGTTTCCAGTAGGAATTCGAATTGGAATTGAAATGAAATTTTAAGTTAAACATATTTTTTGAGGCACAAACGATGTTTCATTAAAACAGATTTTAAATAAGAATTAAAATAGGATTCCAAGACTTGATACTCAAAATGGCAAAAGATGGCGAAAATAAAAATGATTCTATAGTAGAAATTGTACAATCTAAATGCATGCTTATCATGTTTTACATTTAGAAACTTATTACCTGTAACCCAAGCAATGTACCTTGTTAGTGGCTCTTTGTTGCCTTAAGTTCCCTTATACATTGTATATATAGCAAACAATAATCTTGCAAGGGGTGGCGGTATCCTTTTGTGTACACTGCTCGTGATGCCTTTATTTGCCCTTGCAGTGTAACTTCAAAACGTATAAACAATGAGTTATTCGTTATTACAAAAGAACTGAAACTTATACCAGAATTTTGTCCCGTTTAGTTCATAAAGAAGAACACTCTTTATGAAATAAACAGAACAAAATTCTTGTATATATTGTAGACTCATTTGAGGGTTGGTTTCTTTTTTGTAAGCGTATTCGCCTCGAGTTAAGGAGGTCGTATGTTTGATCTCTGGCAGGGGTTAAAGACTGAAAATTGGTATCTGCTGCCTCTCTGCTAATTAGCCAGCATTCAGGAGTTAGAACAAAGACTTGCCGACACGCAGTCATAATAAAATGTCACGGTAAGGTGACATGTTTTCCTATAGACTGTTATCTATGTACAAGTTAAAGATCCGAAACAGCGTATCCGTTTAGTACAAAACAGTGTGCAGAGTTCATATTCAAATCACATTTTACATGTTATAGTTCGTATATGAATGTTGTATATGCCACTGGACATTAAACACCCATTTATCCATCCATCAATCCATCCATCATGAGTAAAGTGTAACTTGTTCATCGAGGTTTTCTTGATTGTGCCTTCTTATAACTAAGATTCCACCTTTTCCACTGTGCCTTCTAACTAAGATTCCATCTTTTCCACTATGTAAACATTGGCAAAATATCGTTTGATTTTTTTTTCACAGAATAACTCCCTTTTTTGTTTTGTTTTATAGTGTTTGATCTTTATATACAGATAAGCATTTGAATTGGATGTCCCACTGCGTTCAGATTTTAGCATGAATGTTTGCCCCGCCAGAAATTCATTTAGTTTATTCTTTCGCAGAGTAACCTGTGGCATATACTATAGTACTTGTACAGATTGCATTATTCTATCACAAGGATGGCAATGAAAGCATCTAGGGGACTCAATTTACCAGTAAGTCATACAATTGGCCGACATATGGGATGGTAAATCTATCTAAAGTCTCGGCAGAAATAATGGTTAATAGTTGAATTAAAGGGTTATAATTCAATATACTAAGGCCATAGCGCCAAAAAAAACTTTTACAACCGTAATAAGCAGAATCTTCGAAACGATCTGCGAACCCCTTGTCTATATATAAACTGTATGTGACACGATATTCTAGTAGAAAAACTGAAAAGAATCTGTGGTCTTATCATAACTAAAAATGAAAATTTGTAGTTTATAATATGGAGTAACATACCGATAGAAGACGCATTTTCTCAGAATAATATGTGTCCATAGGACACTATACACCAGTCAAATCATCTCCATTACCATATTTGGTGAGCATCAAAATTTGGGTCATATCCTTCTTTGACATACATTTTTTTAAGTGCACATCATACTGAACATGTGTATTAAGTTTCAAATTGATGTGGCCACAATTCCATGGTAAAATACATTAAACAAAAACTCTAACTTGATCAGTAAACAGCGATTATAGGTCAATAGTTCATATCATAACGAAAAATGATGTACGGAATATTGACATTCTTTTAACATATTCTTTTTAAATAAAAAATAAATAGGGTCATGTGTCAACAAATCAGAGTTCATGGGAGAGAACATATTTTTAAAAAGGATGACGGGAAGGACGTTTTCTTTAACTGACTATTCTCCACATAATAAAAATTAGTTACGTACTCGCTAACATGTTACACCTTACCACATGGTTTATGTACCTGTTCCAAATCAGGAACAGGTAATTCAGTGGTTTTCTTTAGTAACTGTCTGCCTTATATGTTTTCAGCATATAACAGGTCGATGGTTTCTCTTTTGAATTGTTTCACATTTTGTCATGCCACAGCCTTTCAAACTTACTATATGGTATTAGTTTTACTCATTGTTGAAGGCCGTACAACACCATACAAGTGTTTTGCATTCTCATACTGTGATTTCTGGTGGATACTAGTAGTTGCCTCATTGGCAATCACCCTACATCTCCTCATTTATATATAAATAATAACAAGTGAAGATCACAAACTACACTGTACATACTAGCTTCAGGATACAGTTAAACACCATAAGATTAGACTTATAAACTTATTACATGTACTAAGTTTATTAATTTAACCTGGAAGCTGGCGAACAAAAAACAGTATGAGTCACTCATTTAGTATTAAGAAGAAAGAAGATGTTGGTTTGAATGATTTATTGTTTAACTAAGATTTAGTTCAATTTCCATCCTGCAAAGGTAGACTTTGCATATCTACCACAAAGTACATCCCCGGAACATTCTTTGTAAGATCGTAGGTATACGTTATCACCTTGATTTAGCACCACCACCAACGTTCCGGAATCAGAGTCGTAGTCAGCACTGACATCGTCAGTTTCACCATATGTGCTATCGTACATTGCATCATTAACGAGTAAGTCAAAATAGATAACACCATAATTACCAGTGTATAATTTGTACGTAAAGACATACACCCCTGCAGTCGGTACGGTAAAGGTTCCGGTGTATTTGTTATAACCGTTACCAAGGTTCGATTTTACTTCATCGAATATTAGTTGATGATTGGCGCTTGGATGTGGTTCTACCTTACTCATATAAGCATAGAATGCAATGGTCTGTGTGTTTACCTGGCGTGTGTTCATCAAACGTTTCGCTATAAATTGCTCTGAAAGTAAATTTAAAAAAGCTCAACAAATATACTTCTGTACAGAGATTTAATTTGTGAC